AGATAGGACGTTCTGAGGATTTTGGAAGCAACGTGTCAACATCACTGCTAAGAATACGAGAATCGGGAGTAAAGATGGGCACAGCCAAGCACGAGAAGCACACCGGACGCACACGATGTCTTGTTCACAAGCATTAAAAAGTAAAAAGTAAAGAACCCTTTTCTACGGCTCTAGGCGTATAGGGCATATTGGGCTACACCTATATTTTATAGACCAATCGGCACAGGGTGGGTGATATGGTCAGCATCACGCCGGCCGCCTTTACTTTCCGGGACTGCACCCGGTACCCACTTAAGGCTGGGTCGACCTGGGAGCCAAGGTCATTTTGAAAAAGTCCGGCTCCTAACCAACATAGGACTGGCACTATTACCCACACGACGCTGATGAATATGTTAAGAGAGGAATGTGTCCAGAGTGTTGTGAAGAAAATCTAACTCAAAACTCATAATCACACAAAATAATTACGTGTGTGTCTGAACATGATTGATGTATGTTTACTTCTTTCACAGAACCAAACATAATTATTACTGGCCTAGTAATAAATCTGCATAATGTTAGCTGCAAGGGCAATCCCATAATTCCTGAGTGTTCACAGAAATTACCGTTTTATATTAATTACCAGATTACTTCGACCATTAACCGTGTTTCCACTGTTTGATATGACACAACAAGTAGTCATCTGGTTATTCTTCAGAGAGAGAGAAAGAACAAAAAAAGATGTTAGTAATCACCCCAAGAAAACATCAAAGGTTGGAAAACAAAGTAAAGGTTAAGTCAGGAAATGTGAACCAGCGTCATTGCACACCTTTATAAACAAACCATAAGTGCTCTGCCACCAGTAAGGACAGCTGATAAGAAACTGTCCGCCTGTGTCGCCGTCCGCACGCAACTCCTTAGCTACAGCGACGTTCCTCCATTTACCCCAGAGTGTTAATTCTGGTACTAATTTCCTAGAGGCTGGGGATGCCCCATAAAACCACCCAGTTTCGAACACCTGCCGTGGGCTGCAGCTAGTTGCAGCGGCTTTAAAAGCGAGTCGCCTATCGACTGCGCTAATGAGGTTCCAAGTTGGATACAAACAGGTTATGCAAAGACAGATATTTTGCAGACACCAACAACAGGTCAAGCAGATGATAAACTAGAGAGAAAAGCAATTAAAGTGACAGGTCAATTTACTTATTAAGGTAGTAATTTTGATAGTGAAGAAAGAAAGAAATTAATTATGACACGAATAAAAAAAAAAAGTAGTGAAACGACAAATATTTTAGAGACAACTACAGTTCAAGCAGATGTAACACTCAAGACAAATATAGAATTAGAGATCAATTTACTTATTGAGGAGTCATTTTGATCGTCAAGGAAATACAAAGAAATAAATTATGGCACAAAACAGCAAAGCATTAGCAGCTTTTAGTAGTTAGAACACAATATGGAACTCTAAATTGTATTATTTTAAATACAAGATCTGGGGCAAGAATTAAATCCAGAAGAGGACGAACAACCAAAACTGTCTGCTGAAGTTTACAACCTGTAAAAACGAAAACGAAGAAGACTTTATTGTTTTCCCTGATAAGATGCAACATATTCCTCTTCATGTCCAGAGACTAATTCAACTGACTGAAAGTATAAGGTTTGTTGCGTAACAAACTCAAGGCGCATGGCCCGCAGATGGGATCGAACCCAGCATCCCGGTATTACGAAGCGTTCGCATCGACTTAGCCACAGAGCCGAAGAAAAATATAAATCTGACTAAATCCAGATGAGCACGTATTTCACTGTGGCATGGCTGAATGCTAAACGTGACGTGGTTGGCTGGTGTCTGCCGCACTAAACTTGCCCCAACTGACGTTGTGTATCAAAAAAACGTGGTTTCCAGAAATGAGGCGCCAAAACAAACAAATGTGAACTAGAAATTGGTGCATTCCGAAGTAATTAATTGTACATTCGTGTAGCATGCATCTATTTATATCTGTAATTTATCTTATAAAATAAGTAGGTAAATACATAATTTATCACATATTAATCTGCTAAATAACAAATAGTTGTTTGTTATGTTCAAAGCCGATTACTACTGAAAACAGGCGTTTCACCCAGTGATCATGACTTATTTGCTCTCATGATTTGTCTGCATATAGCCCTGATCATGTGACGTCGGTAGTCATGTCTGCCCGTGGATTTCTGTCTCATGAACTTCTAATCATTTCTGACACAAATGATTCGGTACATCTAATGTAATCTCTTTATTACGAACAAGAAGCAGCAGTCAGAATAGCTGGTAAAACAACGCAGTCGTTTGAAGAGTAAAACAGAGCTGCGTTATCTTTCTATTCCTTGTTAATGTTTGCTGACATTTTTATGAGTTCCAATTCCAATGATACCCGTAACCGTCTGACTGTAAATCCGTCTCATTCTTTCCCTGAGTGTTGAGCGTCGGCCAGTTCCCCATGAAACTCCTCGCAGCGCCATGCTCCTTAGACCGTAATGATCTATCTGCGTGTCCGCACTGTTCACTCGCTCCCAAAGGGCCCTTATAATATCTAAATTGTCATACATCAGTTCACCACCAAGTGGTGCAACGCAGCCAGTCTATTTGCCTCCTCATTTCCCAACACACCGGCACACCTTGAGAATAAATCCAAAGGATGCTAACTACAAGGGATCTCTGAAGTAATTCATTGCCTGCATGAAAATAAGCTGGATCTTGAAACAGATGTGCACGCGAAACTCAAGTCTTGGAATCGGTGAAAGAACAACCAGGACTTTCCGCCGGGGTTTACATCCGGTGAACAATAAGGTTGAGGGCCTATGCTCCACTGGGGCTAGAAAGGCAGATGAAGAGGATATGCTTGCAATAATATGAAATATACAAAGACATTTTAAAGAGAAGTTTTAACCATTGTGTCGGCGTCTCTGGCCTAGGCGTTGTGAACGCGCTTCATAATGGCGGGGAGCCGGGTTCGATCCAAGACGTTTTGTGTTTGCTTGGATTTGGCTGTGCTACCGAGAGCTGACTGTTCAGAGAGCAATGGCAAACAACTGCACGTACAATGTGCCTAGAAAAACCACAACAGCCATAAAAAATGCTGGGATTGGTTTTACAACGTCCTGTAAAGTATAAACAACTAACTTGTTTAACCATGGTTAATGGGGTTTGCTTAGCCTACTTACAAGCTTTTTGGGGACGAACCCTGGAGCCCGGAGCCTGGGGGCTCAGGGAAGCCCATGGATAGAGCTGAATGAAAGAGTAGATTTGTTTTCTGGAAAAAATGAACGCGCCCCCCCCCCCCACCCCACACTCACACATGCATTGTCCCATAGTTAGTTAGTCGACAGATTATCCTCATCGCATATCGAACAATCCAGTCCTTAAGTGCTCAGATCCCCTCTTCAGTATCTTCCTTAGCCTCTAGTGGCTCACGACACCTGTTCTGTGCTGGTTTACTATTCTTCTTTTGGCCCCTGTGTAGCGCTCTTGTCTGTCCTCACCCCTTTTGATGTTATGTTCGTGTAGTTTCGTCAGTGTTGCAGATTCACAGTCATCACTTGATTCGTTTAATCAAGCTGTTTCTCTGAGGGCATTCGGTATTTCAGCTTTGACCATTGCTTGTCCGTTTCCCACATGAGCATCACTTGCAAGTCTGTCAGCTCGCTCTTTGCCCTTTACACCAGAATACTCCTGAACAAATATGAAGCTGATTTTCGTCAGCCTAAATCTGTTCAGGGACTCCACTCATTGTCTTAGTATGCAACCCTCTTCGATCCTCTTGAGCATATTCGTTGAGTCGGTGAGAAAGCATGCCCGGCTGAAAGTCTCTGTTTCCAGCCAGGCTATTTCTTTTGCTGCTGCCATGACCTCCACAGTCAAACTGCTTGTCGTCAAGGCGGTGGCACCGCAGTATTGTTTGACAGTTCTTCCTCCGAACTGAGCCGTAAATGCACACGAGCTCCTGTCATTTCGAATGACAGACCCGTCTGCGTAGATAATCACATCACCCTAAGGAGAACTCTCCCATATCAAGGCCTGCACTTCTGTTTCAACAAATTCTGAGGCTTGTTGTTTGCATTCTCTGTTCAGCTTGATGCATACTTTAAACGACGCATGACACTCTGCTGGTACACGTACCCATTCTTTCCCGAGTTCGATGTCCTTAACTCTTTGAGTCCCAAGGAGCGCATCATACGTTCATAGGTTCCCACCTAGAAGCCCAATGAACTCATGATGCGCCAATTTTATTACTGTCTTTACTACCCCCTGGGCCTGGGATGCTAAACCCTCTTGGACTTAACGAGTTAAGTGGACAAAGCTCTTGTATAATATCCCCGGCCTGATCCATCCATGATTTTCCTGTCTTTAATTTGCTGAAATTTCTTTTTCTGATTTCATTGTGCAATGGGTGTTGTGTGTCGGCACTGACTCGAAGGTAGGCATGTGCTCTACAGATCCTTTTTCTTGCTTCCATTGTTGAAAAACAAAACAAAATGTCCCACGTCGGGACACATTTATATCCAGTTGTAGTCACGTCAAACAAGCATCCCCGAAGGGGAAGCTTTACGTTATAACTGTTTATAACTGTAGAAGTTACGTGCGCTAGATAAAATGCCTTAGCATTGCACGCCATTAAGAGCCCTGAAAAGGACTCCAGTGTTGATGCGTCCAAGGGGGCAGACCCAAATACTGTCCCGACTGGCGACGAAGTAGTCGACCGGTGAGGTAATGCGAGGTAAAGCGACCCGTCTTTAGGTAAGTATGATTGGGATTGAAATGAAGGCAAGCATTTTTTAAAAGCCAAACCACTGCTATCATTTAAAAAAAAAAGGGGGGGGGGAGGGTGGGGGAGGGAGGGTGAGATACTAATATAAAGAGGCTAATATAACATAGTAGTTGAATGGGCATTCTGGGACTTGTGCCCGGGATTTCTTATCCGAATAGTGGCTTCTTGTGTCACCACACGTTTATTGATCGTTGTGAGGTCCTGATGGGGTGGAACACCACTCCGATGATGACGAGTTGGTCCTGTTTGGGTTATACGGCAACAAGGGATGTAATCACCATTGACTTGTAGTCAAACATTCGAGCCCTTCTAGGCAAGACGGGCCTAGGGTATGTCAGTTTGTCTGTGTGTCCTCAATCGATTTTCTTGACAGCTTTGGGAGGTTTATCCAGCGCAAAACGATGTAAGTAAACAGGTGACATTTTCTGCCAGATGTACATTTAGTTAAACACAACATGTGTGTTTTCTTTAACCCTAAACGTTTATAATATAATCGTTTTTTATAGTCCATTCTTTCTTTATAACTTTTGAAACTTTCTATGTAAGTAAAGATCCCTTTTCACAAGTATCGTTTATATTATATATCTACCGTCCTTTTTAGGATGACTTTTTACGTTATTTGAAGCCCTACGCTGGCTCTAGCTAGGGGCCGCAATATAGCCAGGCCATGAATTTGGCCTAATGGCTGAACGCGGTTTCTGTTACGTCTCCACGGTGATCCTCATCCACATGGTGGCACTTTGTGTCATTGGGTGTTTATTACTTGTGTGATGTCCTGGTGGGGTACTGCTACCTACCTGGTATTTACAATGGAATCAAGGCAGAAAGGTTGCGATATCCATAATACCGAGCCAAAGGGTTTACAACTCATGGCTTCTGGATACGTTAAAAAAAAAAAAAAACCCGGCAACACACTGCCGTTAATCGTCACTATGTCGTTGTGCGTGTACGTTATCCGTATCGGCCCAAACACGTCCTCAACCTCGTCTATGTAATAAACAAACAGACAATGCACTGATAGGCACTCATAGAATGATAGAAGTACACACAAGACAACATAAAAATAGAAAGTTATAGTTACCGTGCCGGGAATCGAACCTGTCAACTCTATATGGCGTGTGCACCTCGCTATGGAAACAAATGTATTAAGAACATGACCAACTCACCACCATCAAGTGTCTTGCTGACTGGCGTGGGCGATCATGCCTCTCCACAATCTGCGTGATTAATTTCATGTGTTGAAACCCGTTTATGCCATAACAAAAGACTGTCAAGAATCTTTTTACGCTGTCTTCCTCTGTCATTTTTTTTCCACAGATCTTTCCAGTGGTCACAACATGTTCCATTTTCTCTCTTCTCATAACATGACCAACAAATGATGTCTGTCCCTTTCTGATGTCTGTGATAAATTGTCATCAAGCATTCACTTCTTTAAAAACATCTGGGTTGCTCTTCTTAGCTGTCAAAGGAATTCTAAGAATTCTTCTGTAAAACCACATTTCCTAGGTCTCAAGATATTGTTCGTCTTGTTTATTAATTGACCAGCCTTCACAGACATGTGTTTTAAAAAGGGCTCAAACAGCACGCGAAAATTCTTTTCCTAACCTACAGTGACATGAATAATTTTGCATAAAATGTTCTTCATTTTGTCAAATACAGTCTTAGCCTGTCATATTTTATTCTTTATCTCTGTGATACATCTTTCAACGGCTGTTTTCCATGTGCCTTAAAAAAATTTTTTTTTTTTTTTTTTTTTTTTTTTTTTTTTTAAATACTTAAATTCGGTAAATGTCCTAAAATAACGCCTTTGACTTTTATTATACATTTCAGCACTATTCTTTTCTTGGAATCTACTATTACTTCTGTCTTACAATTCTCAAAGTAAGCCCATTTTAATACATTCTACCTGCTAGGCACCGTTAGAGTTGACCATATCTATCGTGCAGCTCAAAATCCACAACTATGAAGTAGAGACAGAGTTTATCTCAAACCACTGAAATAGCACCCTAGGTTCATCATCATAATCATGTGCTCTACCAACTGGCGTAGGCGCTCATGCGTCTCCACAGATCTCGATCCCTGTTTGACCAGAACAGATCTCTTGATGATATTCCTCCATGCCATCGTTTCAGCCCATCCAGCATCGTCTCTCTTGGTCATCCTCTATCCCTTTTCCCACCGATCTTTCAAATTTTCACGATGTTCTTTAATGTCTCTCTTCTCATTACGTGGTCAAAGAACAATGTTTGTCTCTTTCTTATTGTTGTATATACAGATCTACTTCCTTTAGTTTCTTTCAAGCAATCGTTGTTAGTTACTCTGGTTGTCCAAGGTATTCGTAACATTCGTCTCAGAAACCACATCTCTGTTGCTTACAGACCCTGGTTTACAAACATGTATATTAACCCCGCGTAGATTGGATAAAAAACACAGCAACAATTACAAACGTATCTGACCGTAACGCTGGGTCTAGAATATAAATTAAAAAAAAACATTAAAGACAGAGATTTATTTGGTTAGTTCCACTGTGTTACACATAATTCACATACATAAACAGAGGGGGAGCCCTTGAGGCCGACAAATATTATGTATATAATAAACAAACAGATCGTGTATTAATAGACACTCATAGAAAGAAGTAGACGGATAGAAAGACACACGCAACCATATAAAAATCGAAAGCTGTAGTTACCGAGCCGGGAATCGAACCTGTCGCCTCCAAATGGCGTGTGGTAGGTAATTTACCTCCTCAAGGATTGCAGACAGCAAAATTAACAACTCAGGGGGGAGTTTTCTATATGTACGAATCTCGGAAACCTTGTTATCTGTTATGCTATGTTATCACAAAGACAACTCACCACAAACACCAGAAAAAGACAGTTATCATTTTGTTTTGGTCATGTTATAGGAAGTAGGAAACTGAAACCTGTGGTGACCACTGAAAATATCTGTGGAACAAGAGACAGAGGACGACAGTGCGAGAATGTTCTTGACAGATTTTTGCCACGGTATGGTGGGATGTCAGCTCACTGGTCTATGAAAATATTTGTCTAGCATCCATGACTGGTGTACCACTGGTATAAAAAAAACTTTCTTTAATAATTGTTCACTTGCCTTGGTTAATTACCAAGTCGTCTTTCTGTGGGATGCAATTTTTTGATTTTGCACCCCCGCCCCCACCACCTTCTTCCCACCTCGGCTTTTGCCGGTGGCCCTAAAAATAGCCGGTTCATAAATATGGCCTAACGGCTGAATGGAATTTCCGTGACCTCTTCACGCATGAACCTTATCCGCATTGTGGCACTTTGTGCCACCAGATGTTTTTCGCTCAGTGTGATGTCCTGGTGGTGTGAAATTTACTTAATTACTTACTTGATCACTTACGGCCCCATGTTCTGTTCTCGATGTTCAGGGCTGGAACTAGTGTTAACCACCTTGATGAGCTGGAGAATGAAGTGACAGAAGTCACAGCTTTGTTGAGACAAAATGTGGAGAAACTCTTGGAGAGGGGAGAGAAGATTGACAGACTTCAATCCAGATCAGGTATTCTTTACAATTGTCTCATCTTCCTTTCTGGGGCTTCTGCAGGTTTCTGCTAATGTAGCTAACCGATTATTCATCATCGTCATCGTTTCAAAACTTTCCACACTCATGGCTTCTGGATACTAAAACAAACAAGCAAACAAACAAAACTCCGCACTCATGTCGTCTGGATACTAAAACAAACAAAGAAACAAAACTTCCACATGCTGTCAGGTCACCATTTGTTATTGAATTTTCCCGCATGGTTTTTGCTGAGGTAAATAACCCATTTCTAGAACTGTAGTCCAAAGATTCTTTCACTCAGCTACATAGTTGAGTGCTTGGTGTGACACTGTGAGCTGAGAAATTCAAGCGAAATGACATTTTTCTGTTATGCCCAAAGCATGTTTTTGACTACACTAAGATTGGTAAGGGTCGATTAAGCCCAGAAAAGCGTGTACTTTTGCGGGTACTGTGCCAGCTTTCATGAATCACTATCTGTAGCATCACTGAGCTGCATTTCTGGCGTGGGACCGTTAGTGTTAGCACACTTGACAGCCTCCTTGTGCATTTTTACTTCGCATGTGCAAGCTCCAAGAGTTTGCTGGGATTAAATATGTGTTTCGCTGACTTTCAAAAGTGACACTGAAGAATATTTTAGACCAGTCACTAAATTTGTAGCACACTTTGATGAATATGGATCTTGCTAAATCTGCCATATGTTCGGGTGAACCACCAAGACGAACATCAGAGCAGGTCTTACTAGACTTGCCCAGAGTTTGACAGTCAGAGACACAAAAAAGACTGTCTGACACTAGTGACACTATAAAACTATAGGGCACTATTGAAGATCATAAGTCTTCTTCTTCTACTTCGCGTTCACCAGCTGTACACTCTTACAAAAAGTTTTGGTTGTTCGTCCACTTGTGAACTGCAGTACTGCTCCAGAACCTGAGTGTTGCGTGTGCATCAGTTTTATAGATCCGATACACATGAATGCAAACTGTTTGTTCCCTGCCTCTCAGGCAGATGCACACCAACTTCAAAGAAAGCTCCTAAATTAGTCGACTCTTACGACATGCTTTTATGTAGGCAGTTGGTCTATTCATTTCCCCACAATGGGGCCCCGGAACCCACACAGGGAAGATCCTAAGTAAACATCAAAGTAAGGGACCCCTTTTCACTCCTTCAGATGTATAGGCCATTAAGTGCTAGACCTAAAGTCTATAGACCAGGCGGCACTCAATGGGTGATGTGGTCAACATAAGCTATCTAACTTTACTTCCTAACAAGAAGGGACCAGGCAACCATCTTCAGACTTAGAACAGAACATACTCCACTCAATGGACATCTAAACAGAATACTGCCACAACACTCCCCAGAGTGCCAGCTATGTAACTACTCCTTCGAAACTGTTAACCATCATCTCTTTGAGTGACCAAAACTCAAGGAGACTAGAAGAATGCTACTCCTTCCGAAACCAGACAAGTGGAACACCTTGTACGGAGGAAAAGAACAGATTGTGAAAACTTGCCAATTCCACTACATAGCATTGGACCAAAGGGCGAAAGCTCATGCACCGCTGGATCGATAATAACAACATAACAACTTTACTTTCTAGAACTTTTCCTTGTACCCGTTTTAGGCTGGGTCGATCTGGAGGCTAAAGTCATTTAATAAAAAAATTAAATCGAGTTCTATTAGGGTTCGAGCCCACAATCTTCATTCCTGCATGCAAGCGTTTAGCCACTGCGGCTCCATGAGACCTCAAGTATCCTGTCTTATTTGTGAGCCACAGCAGAATAAATAGGCACTTCTAGGTTACTACCCGTGTGCTATTATGTTGATCCGTTGTTCAAAACCTAAAATCTCAAACAGAATGTGCATGCCCCCCTTCCCCTTAGTAACATAAACTCTGGATGAGTCCATTTTCGAATTGCTTTCCCTAACAAACATTTGCCCCCCCCCCCCCCCTTTTTCCATCTTTTAGAATCAAATCAAATTGATTGCACGGAGAAGAGAGATAGAGAGCTGTATGCGAAAGCACGGAGAAGAGAGATAGAGAGCTGTATGCGAAAGCACGGAGAAGAGAGATAGAGAGCTGTATGCGAAAGCACAGAGAAGAGAGATAGAGAGCTGTATGCGAAAGCACGGAGAAGAGAGATAGAGAGCTGTATGCGAAAGCACAGAGAAGAGAGATAGAGAGCTGTATGCGAAAGCACGGAGAAGAGAGATAGAGAGCTGTATGCGAAAGCAAAGATAGAATGACTTGAAACTAACAATGTGCACCTGAATAGGTATTTTTCTATCTCTGTGACTCAGATTTATTTACATTCAGTGTTTCAGCATTCATCCCAAACCTGGGAAACAAAGATGTTGAGCCCATTTTGCAGTAAAGAAAGCACACAAAGTTGAACACCTTAACAACATATTCTTTCCCACAGGACAGCTGGACGAAAATCTACACAGATGGATCAGCAAAAGAGGCAAGTACGAATGGTGAAGCAGGCGTTTACATTAAACACCCAGATGCCACTACTGTGTCCTTGGAAGCCCCACCTGACGAACTTGCTCTAACTACAAGGCAGAGCTCTCAGCCCTACTGATGACAGCACAATAAATGAACAAGCTGTAAATCACCACAGGCACGATGGTTTTTCTCACTGACTCACTGGCAGCCATACAGGCTCCCGAGTCCAAACCTGCAGACAACGTAGAGTCTAACAAAGGAACTTGCTATATTGTCAAAAAAGGCAGAAACTCACCTGCAGGGGATTCGACCTCAGTGTGGCATCAAAGGCAAAAAATATAAAGCTGATGCTTTAGCAAAAGAAGGCAGTAACAAACCACAAATCCACCAGCCAATATCTTTTCCTGAAGTCAAAACTCTCATTAGGAGAAAATGAGAAACGGATTGGAAAACCAACACTGATTATTACCATGGAAAATATTTTCTCAAACACCTGAAAAGAACAGACCTAGTCACAGTTTTTCATTTACGTACTGGACACTTCAGACTAAAAAAACACTCATATAAATTAGGTATGAGCCAAACAGCTGTTTGCTAGTGTCTTCGTGCTGAACAGACTCCAGAACATGTCCTGAAAGACCTTACTCTGTTGGCGGATCTGAGGAGCAACATATGGCAACACCCAGTAGATCTGACTAAGCTTTAGGGAAACCTTAGAGACCTTGAGATGACATGCCATTTTATGGTCCACAGTTCATTTTGCGCATGACCAGAGATCGCTGAAGAAGAAAAACGACTTGGTGTGAGTTGGCTGAGGACCTATGCTCTAATGGAGGTTAGAAGGGCAGAAGAAGAAGAAGTAGAAAAAAGAAAAATCAAATTGGCCCACATAACATTCAAATTGCGGCCCATGTGGAACGTTTGTCCCGCTTTGGGAAGCACTGGTTTAAATGCATTAATGAAACAACAATTATGACTTATGTTTTTTCACTTTTCTAGAGAATCTGGAGTCTAGTTCTACCAATTTCAAATTATCTGCTGCAAAGACACGCAAAAAGATGTGGTGGCGAAATTTCAGAATGTCCTGTTTACTAGGTTGGATGATATTCCTCATTATTGCGATAACAGTCACCATAATATTAGGTAAAGTATGTTTCATCAGCTAATAACTATTTTCCTATGGCGTGGCTAGCAATTTTCTAAATGTTCTGCAAATTCTAAGAATTGTCTGGGATTGCACGTATGATACAGCAACTAGATCAATGAGGTATATGTTTGGGCTGACATCGGTAAAGTACAAACTGTCACTGGCGCAATCCAAGCCCTAAATGCGAGTTACCAGTGATGAAGGGCGTTCACTGTATGGCTGTCTGACAGATTTTAGAGGAGACGGGTTGAAAAGAGGGAAGTCATGGGTGGCACTAGCTGAAGATAGCATCGGTCCCTTGGCCTTCCACGAGGAAATACAACAGGGGGCAGGAATGGGTTGACACACGGTTGTGTAGTGGTGAAATGGTTGTGGAGTGATGTAATGGTTGTGGAATCGTGTAACGGCTGTAAAGCGGTGTAATGGTATGGCAAAACTAGAGACTCAACAAATGATATATTTATTATAAGTATTGTATAAGATTGCATAGGAAGTAAAGGGCTAAAACAATCATCAACAAGGGATCTATCTACTGATGAACCGTGAATCCTTGCCTTGCATGCTCACCTGTGTTCTTGATGATTTGCTTAAAATGAGTGTTTTGGGATGAAAGGTTTAGATATCACAGCCTAGCTGTAGACCATAACACAACCTGCCAAGTGTAATTATGAAGAATAACTTAGAAAAAGACTACGATTGTATTACCTGTTAAAGACTGTCTTCTCAGATCGTGCTGAGAGTTCCTGACAGAGATCCCCACTCTAGAGTGAGAACCATGACCAAAAACTGACAGAGAATACTGATTCTGTAGTGAGACTATTACTAAACCCAGACAGAGGTTTTTGACTGTGGTGTGAGCCATGGCAGAGAGTCCGCACTCTGTGGTTAGAATATGAGCAAACTTGGGGGATCCCGAGTGCTATGATGTCGATTCTTAATTCAGCTTTCAACACTCGACCTTCAACTTGGAAGTTTGAGAGAATGTACAACCAGGATAAGAGACAGGGCGCGTTGGAGATCCAGCCAACCTTCACTGTGGAGACGGCATCGGATTGATTAAAACTTGGAAGAAGAAACCACAGAGTGATCAAACCTTGACAAACGATCTTACTATGCGGTGAGAGTGTGACTAAATACTCGCAGAGGTTCCTGACAGCATGGTGAGACACTGACAGATACTCCTCATTCTGTGTGAAGAGACCTGGCAAAACCCTGACATACAATCTTTATCTGGGATCAGAGCCTGACTAAACCCTGACAGAGCAGCTTCATTCTGTGTGAAATCCATGACCAAACCCTGACAGAGAATCTTCACTAGTTGGTGACAGTGTGACCAAATCCTGACGGAGATTCCTCACTGTTAGTGAGATATGAACAAACCTTGATTGTGAATCCTCATTGTGGGACGAGAGCGAAAAGAAGCCTGGCAAAGAGTCTTCTGTGTTAAGGACCGCCGGGGTTTGCATGTTTGCACATGCGTGCATGTATAAGCACATGTGATGACAACACAAGTTGCTATAAAATGTATGTTTATATATTTGTTTAAATTAGAAAATTGTGTACAGACAAACAAGAAGCATGGCTTGAGAAGAATTTCAGGGAAATTTAGCAAAACACTCATGATAAAAACTATTGCACAAAGAATATATTAAAATGTTTCAGCCAAAGAATAAATTCCACAGTGGTTGCCTGAAACATAAGTTTGTTTTAACTTTTAAACCCCTCAAATGATAAATATCTTCTTCTTCTTCTTCTTTGCGTTCACCAGCTGTACACTTTGGCGGAAAGTTCTGGTTGCTCGTCCACTATTGAACTGCAGTCCTGCTCCAGAACCTGAGTGTTGCATGTGCATCAGTTTTACAGATCTCATTTTCCTGAATACAGTCTGTTGGTTCCTTGCCTCTCCGGCAGATGCACTCCGACTTCAAAAGAAGCTCCCCAATTAGTCGACTCTTACGAATTGCTTTTGGGGAGGCAGTGGGTCTATTGTTGTTTTCTTCACAATGGGACCCCGGAACCCAATGGGGGATGATAAATATAAAAGAGGTCATGAATTCACAGAAATCCCCGGAATAACAATTCCTTTAAGAAAAAACAACTAATTTTCACAGGTCATTAATTAATTTTGAAAAATGCATTTATCTAAATTAAATTGTTTATCTAAAATATATAAAGAAATATAAATGGGGTAATAAGAAAACTTGAAGATGGTGAATTTTAAATGAAATACATTCTCTGGGCCTAAAAACCAATATGATTAGCTCACTCATTCCATGACGCTGTGACCTCTATCAATGAGGTTTACTGGATAATCTGACATAAACGTGGCTTTACATAAAGCAACTGGGGTCATAAGGAGGTCCCTAAATGTTTTTTTAAGTTACTATTTTGATATGCTATCTGATCAAATAGTGCCCAGGCACCCAAAGAACTGATAGAATTTAACTATAATTTCAATAAGAGATCATTGCAGACACAGCATTTATGTGACTAGATTTGGGCTTCTCTGGGTGACATTTTAAAATATATTTATTTAATCGTAGAATTGTTACATTCTCCCTCTTCTTGTTTGTAACAGTTGTAAATTGTTATATTGAAATGTACATAGCCATTGTTACATTCTCCCTCTTCTTGTTTGTAACAGTTGTAAATTGTTATACTGACATGTACATAATGTTTCCAAACATCTTTCTCTACAGTGATGACCATTGATGGGACTTCCTCTGATGACAGAAACAAACACAACGGTACAGGGTATATGATCCACAGTTCTAGAAGAAAACCCTTCGATGTCATATTATGGCCATAAGCCATATACCTGTTTTGGATAGATTGCTTCACATACCACCACAATTAAAAGGCTCATTAAATCATTAAATCAACCAGAAGAAGCACCAGACCACAGACAACTCAAATCCCTCAATTTGTCACCTTTTGTGACAAGCTTGTAAAGGGGCTATAGAACTACTAGTTTTTTTTTTTTTTTTTTTTTTCCTTTTTAAAAATTGGTTCCCAGAAACTACTCGGGGAGGACTTGAAAATGGATGATAGCTGAAAGATTACAACTTAGTATTAACAGAACATTTATTAGCTATTTAAGAATTAGCATCACAGCTCGCTGAGTGTTCGCAGAGACCGATCAGGACAAGCCATTATCCTGCACCTCAGGACAGGGTACAACGGATCACACAGCCACATTTACACAACTCTTCAGATACCTGTCTCTGCCATACCAGATCTGGAGAATCATAGATGTATCAGCCATACCACATGTGGAGAATCCTAGTTGATTCAGCCATACCACATGTGGAGAATCATAGTTGATTCAGCCATACCACATGTGGAGAATCATAGATGATTCAGCCATACCACATGTGGAGAATCCTAGTTGATTCAGCCATACCACATGTGGAGAATCATAGTTGATTCAGCCATACCACATGTGGAGAATCCTAGTTGATTCAGCCATACCACATGTGGAGAATCCTAGTTGATTCAGCCATACCACATGTGGAGAATCATAGTTGATTCAGCCATACCACATGTGGAGAATCCTAGTTGATTCAGCCATACCACATGTGGAGAATCATAGTTGATTCAGCCATACCACATGTGGAGAATCATAGATGTATCTGCCATACCACATGTGGAGAATCCTAGTTGATTCAGCCATACCACATGTGGAGAATCATAGTTGATTCAGCCATACCACATGTGGAGAATCCTAGTTGATTCAGCCATACCACATGTGGAGAATCCTAGTTGATTCAGCCATACCACATGTGGAGAATCCTAGTTGATTCAGCCATACCACATGTGGAGAATCCTAGTTGATTCAGCCATACCACATGTGGAGAATCAAAGGTGTATCAGCCATACCATCCAAGAACATGTTCACATATTAGCCATTCAAGAACATGCTCAGATATCAACCATCCAAGAACATTTTCAGAGATCAGCCATCCAGGTGCATGCTGAGATATCATCCATCCAAGAACATGTTCAGATATCAACCATCCAAGAACATTCTCATATATCAGCCATTCAAGAACATACTCAGATATCAACCATCTAAGAACATGATCAGATATGAGCCATTCAAGAACATACTCAGATATCAACCATCCAAGAACATTCTCAGATATCAGCCATTCAAGAACATGCTCAGATATCAACCATCCAAGAACATTTTCAGAGATCAGCCACCCAAGAACATACTTGGATATCAGCCATCCAGGTGCATGCTGAGATATCATCCATCCAAGAACATGTTCAGATATCAGCCATTCAAGGACATGTTCAGATATGAGCCATTCAAGAACATACTCAGATATCAGTCATCCAGGTGGATGCTCAGATATCAAACATCCAAGAACATGTTCAGATATTAGCCATCCAAGAACATACTCAGACATCAGCCATCCAAGAACATACTCAGACATCAGCCATCCAAGAACATACTCAGACATCAGCCATCCAAGAACATACTCAAATATCAGCTATCCAGGCACTTGCTCAGACGTCAAACATCCAACAACATGCCCAGATAAAAGCCATTTCAGAAAATGTTTAGATGCCACAATTTCACATGATCACTAGTCTGGGATTAAGTTTGTGTTCTTGTCATAACTATATCTTACGGACAAACCATTGTGTACATATCTCATTATCTTCTTTGTCAATTGAGTTGACCATTGTGTCATGAAGTATTCAGATATTAAGTTTGTCAGATGTAGCCATTTGTCTTTTTCTTCAACTTTTGTTCACCTTTATTAAGTTTTCTACATCTGCAATTTTATCACTCATAATAACTTTGCTGTAATTTTCAACTAAATAGGTGATCAATAGAGTACATTTTCACTTTTGTTCTTTCTGGTCAAAAGCTTCAACTAAATGTTCCATATTCAGTGCAGTCTTGTAGTATGTGTTCTGCTGATACAACTATGATTCTCCACGTGTGTTCTGCTGATACAACTATGATTCTCCACGTGTGGTATGTGCTAATACAACTTTGATTCTCCACATGTGGTATGGCTGATAGAACTATGATTCTCCACATGTGGTATGACTATTAGAACTATGATTCTCCACGTGTGGTATGGCTGATACATTTATGATTCTCCACGTGTGGTATGGCTGATATAACTTTGATTCTCTACATGAGGTATGGGTGACACATCTATGATTCTCCACGTGTGTTATGGTTGATACAACTATGATTCTCCACGTGTGGTATGGCTGATACAACTATGACTCTCCACGTGTGGTATGGCTGATACAACTATGATTCTCCATATGTGGTATGCTGATACATCTATGATTTGTCCATATGTGGTATGGCTGATGCATCTATGATTCTCAACATGTGGTGTGGATAATACAACTATGATTCTCACATGTGAATTAATATAGTAACAGAACGTGTATTGATCTGCACTCACAAAAAGAAGTAGAAAGATAGAAGAACACACTAGACAACATAAAAATCAAAAGCTATAGTTACCGTGCCGGGAATTGAACCTGTCCCCAACAGACGGCGTACACGCCTCGCTATTGATTCAAGTGCACTAAAAACATGGTCAACTAGGCTGTTTTTTCAAAGTATGTTTTATGATGGCTCAAAATACAGCGTGTTTTGAGGTTTATCGCAGCAATCTGTATGGCGGAGAAGGTACATGGTTGCTTGTTTCATAATATATATATATCTGTAGTTTAGGTAATTAATTTACTGTAATGTATGTCTGTTTAAACAAAACATGTTTACACATAAAACAACTTGTAGAGGTTGACAGAGTCTTACGACAAATTTTTAGACCCATCTAAGATGCAGACAGCGGGAAATGAAGCGTGAGAAGCAACAACGAATTTCATAATCTGTTTAAATCACCATGGATCACTGGCAACATGCGAGCTAATAAACTGAAATGGTTGGGGCATATTGAGAGAATGTCAGATGACAGAGAAGTAAAAACTCTATACACTCAGTAGACCACGAGGCAGACCAAGAAGGCGATGGAGAAATAATGTCCAGACAGATCTACTAACACATGGTGTCACCAACTGGAAAGAGAGATGAATGGAGGTGGGTGATATTTGCAGCAAAGAACATCAAGGGCTCGGAATGCCGGAAAAAGAAGAATATACAGGTTGACATTAAAAAATCTGGCCATCCTTAATCCAGTTCCTTCAAATTTC